AAAAAAAAAAAAAATAAAAGTCCCACGCGAGTACTCGCAAGCGATTCATGAAACTCCGACACGTCAGACAATATATTATAAGACACAGAGAGAGAGAGAGAGAGAGAGAGTAGGTGGTAGGTCCAAAGCGAGTCCAGACGGAATACATCTCATGATTAATCAGTGGCGGCTTTTTAATCCAACCCACTTGTACCTACACACATATACGCGCCTCATATTACTATAAGCTCCTTTGCCCATACTCTCTCAATTTCTTTATATTTATCCCTGTCGTTCGCGAGCACCGGCGGTTTCTTTTGTCTCCTTCTCGTTACACGCAGACCGTGACTACTTGTCGTCGTCGACCGGCCTTATTAAAAGCGGTTATAATAAGACCATCCCTACCCCCGTACGGGAGGATGAAAAGACGTGGAGGAAGACTCCTCTCCCGTATGAGTTATTTTTGAGCGCGTACATTATACGCTATTAGGCTCCGGATAATCCGGCGTCCGAGCTGCTAACAAAAGAAAAAAAAGGGGAGATTCATATTCACGGTACGCGATGTGTGACCCTTTTTTTTTTTTCACCCGCTTTTGTATTTTTGTTGTTTCGATACGCGTATCCTATGATGAAGCGAAAATGTTGCTTTTGCCCGACAAAGCCTCGCGCGGCACGTGACATCGATGCAAACACACATATTCATTAGCTGTCGTTATTGCTATATACTTTTGTCAATAAACGAGGAGTCCGGCATTTGTCGGCAATAGATTCGGGGGAGGAATGAGCGCAGGTGACATATCGAGCCATCCAATTTTCGTCGCACGTACAAGAGAGAGGGTAAACAAAGACAGAGTGTCCCTTAGTCTTTCCTTCCTCTTTTCTTACGCGCCGGTCTATATTACGCAGGAAAAGTGTGTCATAAACGTCCTGCCGATTTTCCGCTCAAGCTCGGGCGTGCGGGCGATACATACACAAGTAACAAGGTACGCATGGAATGACGATCCCTACGGGAGGATCGGTAAGCTCGACACACGCGTAAAAGCTGGCTACGTAATTTAAGTGGACGTGCACGAGTGTACTTTGCCTTTTCCGTCCGAGACCATTCAACTTTCGTATTACGATGATAGGGTACATACCTACATTTACTCGTTACACTTCGTTACGGTCGTACGCACGCGGAAAGAACTGCTGATGTTGTATACACCCACCTTCATTTGACGCCATCTGTACGATTGTTTCATAATGTCACAATCTGTCGAGTATAAAGCTTTGTACTACACATGCACCTCCTTTTTTTTTTTTTCACTAAACTTGTGTAAGTATATACATTCATATTTGTTGCTCGAACCATAATACTGTTTTGTGCAGTTGTTACCGATTACGTACGTATGTAAGTTTCAAGCTCCGCTGCAGCATACAACGCATACACACTTATGTTATTATTAACGAACGAAGTTTAAAAGTATCGTGTAACGAGGGGGTGGACCCTATGCCGTGGCTCGTTACTTCACGGACGTCGGCAATCGAGCCCTTTTTTCGTTTATTTTCTTGTTACCGATCCCTCCTTCACTTACCGCGAGGAGGCAAAGGGGCTGGGGTATAAAAAGCAACTCTCAATTTCCTCATTCGGTCATCCGGAAGGGCCTTCCTTCCTTTCTTTTTTTACTCTCCCTCTCCTCGTCGCATACACACATTATGGACGGTAAACTTAGCCTCTGTTGCCGATACCGGCGTGTATGCGCGGGCGATTTATAAACGTCGAGCCTCCCCGGGGGCGGGGGGAGGTTCGCTTATATACATATATACACGTAGGGTCGCGTATCGGGCTTTCCTTGCGATTTCTATCTTGACGGATTCTGAGAGTGGCTCGAACAGCGGGAGGAGGAGGAGGACGCTCGCATCGAGAACAACACACCCGCCCGTGTCGTTACACTTTTCTACGTAATACATATATACCTGTATGTATACATAGCATAGAGTGGGATATAGGGTATATTACATGCACAGAGAGAGGGTGAATCGTGCGAGTGTAGGTGTATACGTGTACATACATATATAGATAGGAAGGAGGACTTGATTTATAACAGTCGCGAGGATATATATGATTTATCATCGAGGAGAGCGTTTCAACGATGCATGTGTACATACACTCTTTCTCTCTCTCTCTCTCTTCTCCTCCCGTTTTGAGACGCACGCTTTGTTTAATGTACAACATTAGAATACCTTTACCTTATACTTCATAATAATTGGGGTGCATCGCATCATATCATACTTATACTTGTTTATATGATACCATAATATGGTATACGTATACCTTTTGTCACCATCGTAATGGGGGTTGTTGTAAATTATTTTAGTTTAGTTCGATTCCGGGGATACTATTAATTGTGGGATAGGTGGCTTCGATGTAGGGGTGTCGTCTTTTTCATCAACAAAAGCACGTTGGACGCGAACGAATAAATTTTGTCCAAAAATAGTATGACTATGTAAAAAAGAACAGTGAGTATTTGAAAATGAATTGAAACAAAATGAAACCAAAAGCGAGTTTGAGGAAGAAAAAAATATATCTAAAGGTTCGCTCGCACCATTCCTCTCGGTTCGGAGGAGGAGTTAATTAATCATAATTACGGACTATTCCAGTTATATCTCCATTCTAATTGAGACTTTTGCAAAGGGACGCGTCCCGATCTATATATATATNAATGGTGGTTACAGTAATTCAGGGTATAATGAAGGTGATGATTCAAACACTGCTAGTGTAACGGGGGATATCGATTGGTCCACAGCAGCTAAAGATTGCGTAAGACACTAAAACCTGTGTATAGCTTTAGTACAAGACAATAATTTTATAAAATCTAATGTAAAATTTCAGGAAGCCTACCTGGAAAAAAAATGGGCCGCTTATCCTGCTGTCAAAAAAAATTTTTACATAGAAGATCCCGAAGTTACCAACATGACAAAAGAGGAAGTTGATAAAATTAGGCAAGAAAATAACAATATTAACGTTGAGTACACCTTTGAAACGGACGACAAAACGGATGATGATATTCCCAATCCAGTACAAACCTTTGAACAAGCTTTTAAGGTGAGAATTTTATTTAATACCCGTATATTAATTATCATGATTAATAATCCATTCAAATGATAGAATTATCCAGATATAATGATGGAAATAAAAAAGCAAGGTTTTGAAAAACCAAGCCCCATTCAATGCCAAGCATGGCCAGTATTGTTAAGCGGTAAAGACATGATTGGTATTGCTCAAACTGGCACAGGTAGGTTTATTTATTTATTTATTATTTTTATTTTAATGCTGATTACTCCGATAAACTGCACTTTAATAAACCAATGCCTGCAATTGAGCGTAATGTTAATTATTTTAGGAAAAACCCTGGCATTCCTTTTACCTGCTTTGATACACATTGACAATCAAGACACTCCTAGAAGTGAAAGATGCGGTCCTACAGTGCTTGTGATGGCGCCAACACGTGAATTAGCTTTACAGATTCAGAAAGAAGTTAATAAATACGACTATCACGGCATATAACTGAATAAAACACTAGTTTATTTATTTCTCATTTTTTATATAATTTATGGTGCAGTTAGTGCAATTTTTTCTTTAATGTTTAAATAACAGAAAATGCATGTTTACACGGAAAGACTGACATCAAGCAATCTCCCTCTCTTGAAGGATGAATTAAATCGGATCTTTTAAATTTTTTGTCCGTGTAATTTTCCACTTTTCACGATTTTTTTTTTTCAAACCCATTTTTCTATCAAACAAGGCGAAAACTTGAAAGCCCGACTCTATAATACGTTATGGCTTCGAGACAAGCCAAGCTAATTATAAACGCACAAATTAATGTATGAGCTACAAGTGCACCACTCATCAGTGACTCTGTGATAATAAATGAAAATAATTCCGTTAAACGGCCACTTAATTTATCATTAGATTGTGTGTGATTTTAAAAGATAATTTTTTATAACTAATACTAAATTGTCGCGTAACGAGAGATAACACGGGAAATTCGAGAAAAACCTTTCTGATACTCGAACGAGCCTTGTTAGGAGTGAATTATTAAATTGCCGCGCGCAGCACTATTACAAGTGGAACAAGCTTTATGCCGAGCTGGGTATATTCTGCAAAGGTGCAAAGGGCAAAGGTTTCGCCATTAACCGCTAGCACCGCTAACCACCGGCTGGCGGCATTGGGCATAAGCACTAGTGCAACCCTGCAACCTTGGTGCCTTTTTATCTTGCTTGTACGTGCTTTCCTTGGCTTTTAGTTCCTGAGTATTCGTTACGAGTTACGAGGAGTTGTAAAACAAAAGACGCCTTTTCATCGAGGGACGCTAATTACAGCAAGTACGTAAGTTAATGATTTGATAATGTCGGTTATTAGGAATAATATTTTCTATGAGTTTATCTTTTCGAGTTACGCCACGGGGCAACGTAGATGCAAGTATTGCGAGTATGCTCCTAGCTGCCCGAGAGGTAGTGCGATACTTTTCTCCCAAGTCGCGTGGTAAATGTGAAAATACGCGACCTTGTTTTCCTTGATCACGGAATCACGGTTGTGATAAACATAACCTTCAAGATAAAAATCATATTTACGCAGTATAAACACAGTGGCCGTGTTTTAATGTCTTGCATGTGCTTCTCAAAGGCTATGATTGTTTCCCTATTGTCCAAGGCCAAAGTAGTTGGGTGATATTTGTCTATACGAGTAGTGAATATATTATATTTTTTATCCAGTAGGGAAATGTGGTACTTTTACTGTGCATTTTGCGTGATATTACATCCCATTATACCACAATTCCATCAGTTGTAATTTTTTCTCATTTCGTTATCAAATAATTTGGTAACATTTTAGATTTTCGTCTGCGTAATTAATTTTTTTTTTTTTTTTTTTTTTTTTTTTTTTTTTTCTCCAAAGAATGAAAAATTGTTGGGTGAATAGTGCTCGACAGTTTCCATCATCAGGCTATGATGGTGATAAATCAAAAGGTAGCTATGAACAAGGTCAGTTTCGAAACAATGGTCAAAGAAATAGAAACACTCATCAGAATGCTCAAGAGAATAGGGATTCCAGTAGGAATAGAGACAAGAACAACTCGAACGAAGAGCAGACTACTTTTTATGTAGAAACTTCTAAATTAGGCAGATTGATTGGGAGAGGAGGAAGTCAAATCAAAGAATTACAAGAAGAGAGTAGAACAAAAATTAATGTGAGTCAAGAAATACTTGCACTTTCTTTTATTAATTTTTTTTTTAAGTACCCTACGCACAAATATTGTGTCGGCTTTTTAATTTCACTAGTAATCCATACAAATATAATCTTATCTGCAAATTTTTAATGTAAAATTCAAGACTTTTTTTTTACCTTAATATTATATTTTGTATAATCATTTGAAGTTTGATAACAGGTGAATAAAGAGTGCATTAGAGGAAGCAAAACCCTTATTACTGTGGTGGGTTCGAAAGATGCGCAATGCCAGGTAAAATCTATGATCGAAGAGTTATTGGACATCAAATTGATTGAACCAAATGAAGGTGAAACTGGAAATGGTGGTTACAGTAATTCAGGGTATAATGAAGGTGATGATTCAAACACTGCTAGTGTAACGGGGGATATCGATTGGTCCACAGCAGCTAAAGATTGCGTAAGACACTAAAACCTGTGTATAGCTTTAGTACAAGACAATAATTTTATAAAATCTAATGTAAAATTTCAGGAAGCCTACCTGGAAAAAAAATGGGCCGCTTATCCTGCTGTCAAAAAAAATTTTTACATAGAAGATCCCGAAGTTACCAACATGACAAAAGAGGAAGTTGATAAAATTAGGCAAGAAAATAACAATATTAACGTTGAGTACACCTTTGAAACGGACGACAAAACGGATGATGATATTCCCAATCCAGTACAAACCTTTGAACAAGCTTTTAAGGTGAGAATTTTATTTAATACCCGTATATTAATTATCATGATTAATAATCCATTCAAATGATAGAATTATCCAGATATAATGATGGAAATAAAAAAGCAAGGTTTTGAAAAACCAAGCCCCATTCAATGCCAAGCATGGCCAGTATTGTTAAGCGGTAAAGACATGATTGGTATTGCTCAAACTGGCACAGGTAGGTTTATTTATTTATTTATTATTTTTATTTTAATGCTGATTACTCCGATAAACTGCACTTTAATAAACCAATGCCTGCAATTGAGCGTAATGTTAATTATTTTAGGAAAAACCCTGGCATTCCTTTTACCTGCTTTGATACACATTGACAATCAAGACACTCCTAGAAGTGAAAGATGCGGTCCTACAGTGCTTGTGATGGCGCCAACACGTGAATTAGCTTTACAGATTCAGAAAGAAGTTAATAAATACGACTATCACGGCATTAAAGCGTGAGAATAATCGTTTTATCTGAAAAAATTGAAACATGTTTGACTAAAAGAAAAAACTTTTATAAACTTCATAAAATTTGTTTTTAGAGTGTGCCTCTATGGTGGAGGTAGCAGGAAAGATCAAGTGAAAATACTTTCCGGAGGAGTGGAAATAGTCATTGCTACACCTGGAAGACTAAATGATCTTGTACAAAGTGAAATCTTGGATGTAAAGTGTGTATCTTATTTAGTTTTGGATGAAGCTGATCGTATGCTGGACATGGGATTTGAGCCTCAAATCAGAAAAACTTTGCTTGACGTTAGACCTGACCGTCAGTCTGTCATGACTAGGTAAATTTCTCATTCATTAAACAGTATTGCATTCGCAACATTTCAAGTTGAAAAATAATGTTTATCTTCAAATGAAAATAAAAAAAAATAGCGCCACTTGGCCTCCAGGCGTAAGACGACTTGCTACGTCTTATATGAAGAATCCAGTCACTGTTTGCGTTGGATCATTAGACTTGAAAGCTGTTCATTCGGTTACACAAAAAATATTAATTGTCAATGAAGAAGAAAAAACTGACATGGTTAGACAATTATTGGTGTTAAGCACGCGTCTTTAAGTCGAATATCATTCTTATTTTTGATACGTTAAAAGTAACACATTTTATTTGTTTATTCATCGTCTAGCTAAAAGACTTTTTTCAAAACATGGCTCCAGATGACAAAGCAATTATATTTTTTGGGAAAAAGGCTAAAGTTGACGATCTTGGAAGCGATTTAGCTCTATCTGGCGTAAAATGTCAGAGTATTCATGGAGGTCGTGAACAATGTGACAGAGAACAAGCTTTAGAAGACATTAAAAGTGGTGACGTTCGTATACTCCTTGCCACTGACGTAGCTAGTAGAGGAATCGATATAGAAGACATAACGTAATGTTTATTTCCATGTTGCAATATATACACATTGATCAAAATTTCTTCATAAGCTTTATTAATGATTGAATTACAGGCATGTTTTTAATTACGACTTCCCTCGTGACATTGAAGAGTACGTACACAGAGTTGGAAGAACTGGTAGGGCTGGCCGAACCGGTGAAAGTATATCTTTAGTTACTCGCAGAGACTGGTCCTTAGCAAAAGATCTGATAAAAATCTTGGAAGAAGCAGAACAGGTAAATACTCTTCTTTAAGTACCTATTGTAATGATGTTGTTTTTATGAATATAGCAAAACCCTCAATAATTAAATACTGGACGGTTTTACAACTCTTGGTACTATTTTGGAAATTCTTAAAATGATCACAATTGAAGCAATAGAAGTATAAGAAAAAATGCGATCCCAGAAATTTTCAAAATTACATTTGAATGCTCTCTGTTAACAGGAGATTCCTACAGAACTGTATGATATGGCTGAACGCTACGAAAAAAAGAAATCTGAAGATGGTAGAGATGGAAGAAGATTTGGAGGTGGTGGTGGAAATAGAGGAGGTGGAGGCGGCTATAGAGGAGGCGGTGGTGGAAATAGAGGAAGGGGACGAGGTGGCAGAGGATGGTGGTGATAATATAGCTTGTATTTTAAAAGCTTTTAAAGCTCAAGTTTATTATTATTATATTACGTTAGGATATCGTCTTACTTAAAAATCTTACAGATTGAATGAAATGACATTGTCTGTAATGAAAGATGTATGTTCAATATTTTTCAAACAATTAAAAAAGTACCGTATTTTAACGAACCTATTAAAATGGGTATCCAAAAATTTGTTAGCATAACTGATAAAATCTTTAAAATCTTTGTAAGTTTAATTACTGCAGAATACTCTTAAGAGTTGAAGTACATGTTCAAACCGTAATTTTCTATAAAAAAAAAAAAAAAATTGATCAATAATCCTGGGCGTTTCTTATTTAAAACCTTTAGAAAATCGGAACTTATTGATATTAAATAAAATATGCATCTTTTATTAGGATACATGAAATATCCGTTTAAAGATGACTCCTGCATTAAACGGGATGAAACACACAAGTACAGTTTTTAAAATTAACTTGAAAAAATAAGCAGTAAGCTATTCAGTATTTTTTAGCAAATACTTGGTGATAGTAAAAAAGCACGATCTTCCACAGAATATAGATTAAATACAGCACAATAATTGCAGTAAGTAGCTTTAAGATTTAGATGTGATAAGAAATCATTGACCATCAGTATTTCTGAGATTAAAAAATAAATATGATTTAAAATTACTTTAAGGTATCAACAAATTCGGTAGCTATGCCTCATCTGCAGTGACTCATTTACAATTTGGTTCACTTTATTCAGATATTTCCCCAGATGGGGCCGAAATGGTCATCATAACGATGTTTGCACGCACCTAAAAATTGTAAGTTTATTATTTGATTTTATTCCAAATTACACTACTTCAATCACCGCTGTGTATTGACTTAAAATACTATTATTGATTGAAAATGGAGAATTAGGTCCTTTTTTCATTTATAAGTTAGATTCTTACAACTTTTGCATTTTCAAAACCACCTAAATGATATTCAACTTGCGGATTAATATTAACACCACGTCACGCAATTTTCTCGTACACGTAAAATATCCATACTAAATATACGGAAGTGAGCACATCATCTTTCTATCTTTTCATGCGCCCCTTTTTTTTTCCTTTTTGGGTGACAGCAGATGGGGAGGGAGTGAGGATAACAAACAGTTATAAGCCTCGGAGCGACATAGGAAAACACTTTTGACGCGTCAATTATGCATCACGCCAACGCTAACGAGACGAAATATTGAAGCCGTTGCAGAGTAATGTATATACCTTTGAGCTGCCTCCGGCTTTTTGGGCGATTTCGCTCGCGCCGTTGCTGCCGTGAATATAGTGGACACTGTATATACATTGGAAGAGAAACAGAGAAGTTTAGATATATAGGCCAAAAGCTCTACTACAGTGAGTGCAAGCTTGTGCGTGTGCCCGCGTATCCTACAAATAATGCAGAAAAAAGAGAGTAAAGCGTCATGCTGTACAGGCAAGAGAGCAGTAAACAGCGGCCCTAGAGAGAGAGAGAGGCTTTTAAAAAAGCATTTGAGGAGATAAATTACGCTGGAAAAAGTGGCCCCTGATGGACGAGCTTTTTTTTTGTTTCGTCCTTTTTAGCCCCATATGCCTCGTCGAGCGCGTGTCGGTGTGTGTTTTCGTTGTCAGTACGACCGCTATTATTATTGTTGTTTTTGTTGTCGGTGTGCTGTCCCCTTGCAAGCTCGCACGCACAGTTACACAATGTTTCCTTTCTGCTGCTTTTTTTTTTTTTGCGCCGGACATAGCTGCTTCACGGAAAAATTTTTTTTTTTTCGGTAGAGGAAAAAAAGAGGTATCAGCCCGTTTTAGAAGTATCGTTGCATGAATATACTTATAGCAATTGATAGACGTTATTTGTAGTCAATGCGATCGCGAAATAAACATAAGTGTGCATCGAGATCGAGTTGAAAATGTTTAGAAAACCTTTGTAAGACCTCGCATCAAATAATTTTCAATTATTCGCATCGTATGCGTGAATTCTTCATCTTTTTCATACCAAAAACAAGAACTTGTACCGAAAGTATCTATTTTCGTTTGTTTTTTTTTTTTTTTACTTTTTTTTTCCTACTCTTGCAAAAAAAAAAACAATCTTTCAACGCGTTGTATTTGCCGACATACTTCCCCATCCGTGCACACTACACGCGCGCATATATATGCATGTACGCAAAAACACTCGGTGCTCTTGTTTTTCTCCCATTGTCAGCTCTCTCTCTCTCTCTCGTTCCACATTTCGCAAAAGTTTTAAAACAAAACAAGGACGTTAAGAGATAGTGCGGCGGATTGAAAAGAAATGGAAAAAATAACCGAGTGAAAAGACGTCACTCCCGGGTATAATACCATGTATGGATGTATATATATATATACACTTTTACAGCCCCGCAAATGCATGTTTTTCTCTCCCAAGTGCCGGGGGTGTACGTATCTTTTCTCGCGACCACCACTGGCAATGTTATCGGTCCCGGAAATACACGCGGGGGTGCGAGTGTACAGGGGCGGGCTGGGGGCTAAACAGCACGAGGATCCTATCAGCGCTTTTCCCGCAAAACTCTGTTCCCTCTCTGTGTATATATATATATACACACTATTCTGCCCCCCTCGAATTACATTGTACTTTCTTTCGCGCCTTTTCATCGTCGTTCTTCGCTTCCTTGCCTTTCACACAAAATAACCCCCCTCTTTCTTCACGCGTGCTGCACTCGTCCGGCAAACCTTTACGGTCGATCCTTTTCTCTTCTTTTTTCTTCCCCCCCCCCCTCCCCTTCCTCGTATCCTCTTCACGTGCACACGCTACAAGTTCACGCAAATTTATCGCGCACGGCTAAAATACGCAAACGCGTATACTTATGGGGAAGGATAAAGGCAGGCCGAGCACTTTCACGCGCACACACGGAGGGTAAGACTGCGCTTTTGGCCTCTTTTCGGCGTTTTCCTCTATACAGGTACGGCCGGATGATAACCGGCAGCCGCAAAGAGAAAGGGAAAATAGGTAGCGCTCGGTGGGAAAAAATATTCGGGGCAAACCCTCCCGAGCGTATACTTTGCCGCTCGGCCGAGCGCGCATTTTCGAAATCACAACGAAAACCGCACTCACACGTATACGAGGCATTTGTTTTCGTTACCTTCGACGCAGCCCGTCTCTTTATTATACTTTTTGTACCATTCAAAATGTTTATGTAATTGATATATCACGCATCCAAATGATTGCTTTCGTAGGAAATTAATAATTTACCAAAGAGAATAAAAGGTTCCTTCGTAAACGAGCTGCCGATGAGCACTGTAATTCCGAAAAACCAAAATCACTTCTACTGCGAAAGAGATGATTCCCCCGAGGGAGGAGGGATGAGCCTATAGTCTTTCGGGACAGCTGCAGTTTACGCAATAAAAGGGGAAGAGAAGGATCATAAAAATCATGATGTACGGCGTGGGTTTCCGCTTTATTGGGGCGTGTTTTACGCACCCCGACACGGAGGAAAAGGAGAGCAGTAATTTCGTGCGAGGATCAGCTCCTTCGGCAGAAAAAAAAAACACAGCCGCCAACAAAGAGAGAAAAAGAAGGGAAGGGCACACCTCCTCCTCATCTTCTGCTCAAACACGCACGTTAAGTTAAGTTCTCGTCGAATAAGTGACGCTCTCGCGCTGCTCCTGCTGCTTATGCTTCGAAGGGGAGATCAAGTGTAAAATATATACACCGTTTAGCCGAGTCGTGAAAAAACGTCTCCTCGCTCTCGTAACTTTCTTGTTGGCGCCCGTACATATCTAACTCATGATAATGAAACTTGGTGGCATTTTTTGGCTGCGACACCAAGAACGGCTATACTTGGTGAGTCACAAGACGAACCCATATGATCGATTGATTCGAAATATGTACACCTTGGATGTGTAAGCACCGTCAAGTAATAAGCGGACATCTGCCCCAAAAAAGCTTTCATCGCCACGTATATACACACACAATATTCCCATTGCAGTCGTCTCGTAATAGCCAAGTACCGCCCGCTCGTAAAAAACCTCTCTCCCTTGCATGGATGCGCTCTGAGAGTATATCGTCACAAACTCTGCCAGAGAGAGATAGAGATATATATTATGCCTACAAGTACATATATATATATATATATATTTATAAAACGCACTGGTGTGAAGAGGCACACATGTGCGAGAGCGAGAGTGCCGCGCCCCCGATCCGATGAGCTACACGTGCACGCCGTATCGCAGCCTCCTCCTCCTAGCACACACTATCGTCATCCTGACGCGCCACCCGCTCCCTAATAGCGCTTACACGCGTATATATACAGTAGGTGGGGTTACGCGACGGCCGAACGCAAGTAGCGCGTATACTCCTCCAACTTCTCGCACACCTATATATGTATACCTAAAGCGTTCCTCCTCCACCGCGGAAGCGTATATGTATTACGTATTTATACCAGCAGCAAGGGATAATGAGAAGGAGGAAACTACTCGGCTATACCCTATATATATATCCAATCAGCATATGTACCTCTGTAAGCTGCCAGGCGACGCCCCATTATAGGTACAGTTCTCCACCGCGCGGTAACTTTGGTAAATCCGCTGATGATTCTATGGTCTTTATAATATACATGTACATGCGTAGACGTCGCCCTCGCGACGCGATGAATACGCGACGAACGTCTAGGCTTGATTAGGACGGAAAAATCAATTAGAGCCCGTCGGGAGCGCACCTGCGCCCCTCCTACACTGTGCATCCGAGATCTATATATCACTAGTCTCTGATCACTAGTGTATATAGGCACATGAGGAGCGCCCTTATCTTCCTCTCTCTCGTCGACTCCCCCCCCCCCCCTTAATACAACTAATCTCTCGAAAGACAAAAAAAAACGCGAAAACTACAGATCATTGTTCATGGGGTATATGGTAAGTATAAGTAGATCGCTCGAGCAATTTTGGAACACAAGAGAGAGAGAGCGAAAAGGCACGGACAGGGTGTACACAAACACTGTGTCCCCGTGAATATG